CCACTATAACTCTACAACCACAAGGCTGGATATAATTATAAATTTATAATCGAGGTTGTTAAGTGTGAACGAGGCTAGCATGCATAACGAACGGAAGGGTTCACATTCACATAAGTAAGTTGATATGATCTGGTCAATCGTCGGTCGTGGTTGTTGAATTGAAGAGTGAAGACCGGATGTTTCCAGTTTGCTGCATGAATATTGAAGAGGTACTAGCTAGCCTAAACGCAACGTCATGAAGATGAATGAGGATGACGAATTGACGATACAAGATAGTGAAGGGTCAAGAGTCACCCTGACCCATATTTAAGAATTTAGAATTGTATCGTGACAGTTGGTCACGTACTTTTGCTCTTACGATTACTGAAGAGGCGCACACATGCGCGTCTCTCAGTGGCCCGACCACTACTTTTATAATGTTATCACAAAAGATTCATTATCAGTTAATTATCCACTTTTTTCTTAGCTAACTTTGCGCTAACGTTGCACGTGCCTGTAATTGCAAGACACCATGCATTCATTAGACCTGGCAATCGGACCGGACCGATCCGGATTTGGGTCGGGTCAGAACTTTGTGGGTCCTCTCGGATTGGGTCGGCAAAGGCACAACCCTAACCTTAAATATTAAAGTTAAAATTTAATGGTYCCAACATTCAAGTCAGCTAGTCTTCGATCAAGTCGAGTATAACCATTCAGTTTAATTTGAACAACTCAACTATTCGAACCCCCACCAATTTGAAAATATTTATTGGTGAGAAAAAGAGGTAACCTAACAGCAATCCGTGACTCAACCTGACCCGACGATCCAACCCAATTTATTTTTCGTAGCGTGCTGGTTGGATCATGTTGCTTGATTAATAAATTGGATGATTGGATCAACTTTTTGCCAAGTTTAATCTCAATTAACCTGACTAGCATTACATTTTTTGACATGCCACTCTTTCATTGGATATCGACATCTAATTGAAAAATCAATGATGAAATATGTACTGTGTATTTGTTCGGTCTAGAGATGCTCTACAACAAACTACATTCTAATACACTTCCAACATGATATAACATCACACATTTCATGCATGGTGGGTCCCAACTTAGGAATGGCAACAGGGTGGAGACAGTATTCTTAGTCTTCAATCCCGACTTTGAAGCAAAACCATGACCTTGATTCTGATCCTTGTCAGGGATAAAAATGATCTTCCATCCCTAGTCTCCGATGAAGATAGATTCCCTAATGTGGATCCAAATCTCCAAATTTTTTAAATTAAAACTATTTAAAAAATAAATTTACTTATAATAATGATTTTTTAATATAAAAATATTTTAATATAAATAAAATTATATATATAATCGGAGTCAGGGCAATCTCCACCCCATGTGAGTATTACTATCAATCCCCATCCCTACCCCGTCCCCACCAAGACAATTTCCATCCCTGACCCCAATATAGGTTGAGAAAGCAGAATATCTGACAAAAATGAGAAAAATTGCCATCCCTATCCCAACCTCATGGTGAGAAATTGGGTGTCTTGTTGAAAGTGGGTTGGAACATATTTTGTTGGCAACAGATCCCAACTCCATTGGTACAGTTTTGTTTAATAATAATATTGTATTTTTTTTTTCTTTTCCTGTAAAGTTATGCAGGTTTTGGTTTATCTTACACCAACTAACCAAACAGTTACAATACTATTTGGAGTTAATGTTAATCGAATGCGGATGTGGGGGTTGAAATAGGGAAAAGAAAAGAAAAGAAAGGATCAATACATGCTGTGTTTGGTTTGAAAGAAAAAGTAGAGAAACATGTACGAGTGTACAAAGTTTTATCATGATCTATAACTCTACGTGTGGAATGTTGGAGAATATAAACCTATTTAGGGACCTAATTTAACAGCTTAAACTTTTTAGCTGAACAATTCTTTGAGAAGGAATTATAAAGCATTAAAGTCAGGTCTTTACTTGTCCATCAAATCAAATAGACTTTTGCTGGAGGAAACATCTCAAAATATATAAACCTATTCCACCTAACAATTTAAGCTAAGTTTTCAGGTTTAAACAGTTAATTGATATGGAATTATCGATTATGTTTTTTTCCATGCCTTGTGAGTTAAGTCTTAAGACTAATCTCCAAACTCCAACATTGCCCACAACGTGTCATCAGACCAGATTTACACTATTACATAAACTTACTCTTTCCCCACTTGCGTGGGTTCCTTATCGAAAAAGAATACACATATTTTATTCTAGTCAGGTTTTAATTTCAAAATTTTCGCTCAAAAATGCTATTAGTTCTTCGAGTTCGGATGAAACTGAAATCTTTATCATTATTTGAGATTTTGATAATTTCGATTGGAATCTTATTCCAACTCAGATAACGGATGAGATGGACCGCATGCTTAGTTCTTTATTCTCTATTGGTCCTTTTAAAGTACTCGGGCCGGATGGAGTGCACGCTCTTTTCTATCAACAATGTTGCTCTGAGGTTGGTTCTAATTTGGTAGATTTCATGCAACAAGTTATCCTTTCTCCAGAAACAATTGCTGAGGTAAATGATACTACTCTTGTCTTAATCAATGATCTCCGACTTATAGGTTTAACAAATGTTTCTTACATGGTAGTGGCCAAAATAATAGCGTTTTAGCTAAAAAGCATATTGAATTCCCTCATTACACCTTTTCAAAATGCTTTTTCACCAAAGCGCCAAATTCTTGATAATAGGATCATTGCTATTGAATCCACACAATGAAACGACTACACGGGCGCCATGGAAGCTTTGTTGAAATTGGACCTATCCAAGGCTTATGATCGAGTGGATTGGGCTTTTCTTCTAAGTATCTTGTAGTGTTGGGGATTTTCTTCTCATTTTTGCTCATTAGCATGGATGTGTCTTTCCACTGCGTCCTTTTCTATACTTCTTAGTGGTGATCTTGGAGATCCTTTCAAACTGACAAGGGGCCTTAGACGACCCACTCTCTATCCGCAGTGAATTGCAGCCACACATCTCTATGTTGTTTCAAGATCTCTAGAAATTGCCCAAAAGTAAATCACTTACATTTTGCTGATGATATTTTATTATTTCAAGAAAGCTACTAAAAATGATAAAGTGTTGCAGATGCGGACTATCCTGACCCAATTTTGGGAGTTCGGGTCAAGATATTAATTTCTCTAAATCGTCCATGTATTTCAGTTGCAACTTGCTTTATTAGGGGTGTCACTTATAACAGGTAATTAAGGAGCTCTACCTTGGCTCTCCTCTACTATTGTTGAGTAGCAGAACTACCACTTTGGAAATTTCTTGTTAATAAATAGCAGAACAAACTAAAAAGTTGGAAGACTAATTTTCTTTTTCATGCTGGACGGGAAATATTAATTCAGTGGGAAGTGACTTTTGGTGGGGATATAAATCAAGACAACCTCATACTTATCTACCACCTTCAGAGTTTGAATAAATTCTGAATTACTATGGGTACAAATCTTATCAGCCAAGTATCTGAATTACTCCCATAGTTTTTGGAATTATCAGAAAAAGAATTCTGACTCCCATATTTGGCTAAAGTATGTTGGAGTCTAGGACATATCTATTGAAAGGTGCACAATGCCGTTTTGATCCTCTAATTACTCATCAGATACTTGCACTTGAACGGCCACAAAACATGTCCAGCACAAATGACAAATTAGTATCGACGTTTTACATGTGATTTTGCTATGAAGTTACTCCGATCCGAAACTGCTATATGACTTCCAATCAACATTTTGCCTTCATGGTTGTCTTGTGGAAGGATTTTTGGAAACTTAAAAGAATTACCACCTCGGGTTTAGTGTTTCATATGGAGATGATGCTTGCACCAAGATTTACCGGTTCATGGTCAGCTTGCTGTTTTTTTTTTTTTCAACTAAAGTGAATAATTTATGTCCAACACAGAGGATTTGAATCACCTAGCTATTTCTCTATTGTCCTGTGCAGTTCGGGCGGTTTGGTTTGGATCTTGTTTGGGATTTCATTTGGAGGGTTGTAACAATTGGACAGTTATTTCATGGTTGGCATACTGGTTTTTTCAAATCCCCAATACACCATCAAATGAGTTAAATCTCTTCAGTCAATGTTTGATAAGTCGGTGTAAATTGGTTATGGAACAGGTTTCTTTTAATCCCCTTTCGCGGTACTAGCGGCTGCCCAAGCACAAATTTCTGAATTGACACACTTTAAAGAAGAGCATACCAGATTACCTATCCAACCAACCCATTGTTCACCAACAGCCCACCTCCCTTCATTGGCATGATCATATATTTGATTTGTTGTCACTTTTTGCTAATGTAAAGTTATTGTAAGTAAATAGGCAGGTGGTTACTAAACAGGTTTAGCTTAAAGTTGATGGGACTCGAAATTCTGGTATTGGTATCGTCGTGCGAGACCACTATGGCTCTCTTATTTGCCTTACACTCGCTGACTCAAAAATTACGGAGGCCAAAGCATGCACTTTGAGCACACGGGTTTATAGAATGCAAAAGACTTGTCTTTCTCATAGGAGACGCACAAAAGATTGTACTTTCCTTTCCTTTCCTTGTCGGAACCTCTCGTTAAGGCTCCTTGGCTGTTAGAATACTACGGTTGGTTATAACCAGCACACAACTGCAATCTGCCACGTGGCCACGTGGGCAAAATTGGTGACTCATCACCTCTCTCTGTACATGTAAACTATACACACGAATGAGAAATTCGTGTTCTGTTTGTCTGTCTCGATACCATTCTTACATGTTGTCAGAGCGGCGATCCGCGTCTCCTTGCTTCCTCTGCATTCCTCGTTTCTTTTCTGCAAATCTTGATTTGGTTTGAGTTCGGTGGATCTTGATCAAGTTGTGCTTCCTCCGCTCAGCAGTTCTTGATCCAGTTGTGCTTGCTCTGCTCAACGATTCTTAATCCGGTCATCTCCCTGCAACTTTTGACTCAACCGCGATTGACGCTTTCTTGATTGAGCTATTTCTCTGCAACTGTTCTTGCTATTTACATGGAGATTGAACACAACTCTCCTTATTTTCTTTCTTCTTCGGACAGACCAGGAATGATGCTTGTGTCTTGTCCTCTCACCGGCGACAATTATCCCATGTGGCAAAGAGCAATCATCAATGCCCTGAAAGCAAAGAACAAATTAGTCTTTGTTGATGGATCTCTGCCAAAACCGGTAGCTGGTGCTGCGGAATTCAGTACTTGGACCAAATGCAATGCAATGGTCATTGTGTGGATCTTCAACTCCTTAGCAAAGGAAGTCTACAACAGTGTAGCATTCGTCAACACAGCAACAGAAATCTGGAAAGAATTCCAGGATCGTTTTTCACAAGGAAACATTCCTCGGATATACGAATTGAAGCGAAACTTGGCACTGTTGCGTCAAGACGATCTCACTGTTAGTGCATATTTTACAAAACTTAAGACACTTTGAGATGAACTAAATTCTCTCATGGTGTACCCTGAGTGCACTTGTGGAGCTGCCAAGATTTTCTCAATGGAGCGTGACAGAGACAGACTCCATCAATTTTTTATGGGTCTCAACGAATCGTTTAATACGGTTTGATCAAACATTCTTGGATTTGAGCCTTTTCCTACCTTAAACAAGGCCTATGCCCTCATAATACAAATGATGGTTCCCCGTTCTTTGCAACCTGAAGCTGTAGCACTCACGGCAAGGGATAAAGGTACTGGGGTGTCATGACCAAAACTCCGGTGTAACCATTGCAAAAAGAACAGCCACACCAAGGATCGATGTTATGCTCTCTTTGGATATCCTCCAAAATGGAATCGGCGTCGATATGACAAAACGCCAACTGATGACTATGGTAAAACCACCCGATCTGCTGCTCTTATAGTTACAGATAATGCAAACCAAACAAATACATCAATGAATCAGAACTCACCGGTGGTTGGCCTAACTATGAACCAATACACTCAATTGATCTCTCTCCTGAATAGAGAATCAACTGACTTTGCAGCCTCAATCTCAGCTGGTAAGAATACTACTCCTGTCATTGAATGGATTATTGACAGTGGTGCTTCAGACCACATGGTATCAAATGATGTCTGGTTTGATACCTCTATTACTGTCACACCCACAAGCATTCGTCTTCTAAATGGATCACTAACCCGCACAAATTTGCGTGGATCCATTCCCATTGGGTCACATATCCTTCAAGATGTTATGTATGTTCTCACATTTCGTTGCAATCTTTTGTCTGTAAGCAAGATTACACAACAATTAAATTGCATTGCCATTTTCTTCCCACACTATTGCATCCTTCAGGACCCACTCTCCAAGACTGTGATTGGGATGAGTGAGCTCCGCAATGGGTTATACCATTTCAGATTCCACCACTCCACCACCATTGGTCATTCAATTAGTGTTCATCGGTTCACCACCCTTAGTTATTCATTTTGGCATATGCATTTGGGGCACGCCTCTCGATATCGTTTAGCTCTCATTCATGGGATCTCCATTTCTGATTTGAAGTTATGTTGTGATACATGCCATCAGGCCAAACAAGCTCGTTTGCCATTTTCGATCAGCAGCACTCGCAGTAAAGAACCTTTTTCTTTGGTACAAAGTTTACAACCTAGAAACTCATAAAATCTTCACCACAAGAGACGTTATTTTTTATGAGAATCATTTCTCATTCAAGAATGGATCATTATTTATCCAACCCAAAACATCTATCATTCATTTACCACCCTTAGACGATTTTGATTACCCTAGCCCACCTACCACCATTGACACTACCCAACACCAAACCCACACAGGCCAATCTCCTATGACCGAACCCACTCAAGCCATCAATCCTACACCACCAACACCACTTCCACATAACCACGTTGACACACTCGAATCCACTACCAATCATCCAGTGGACTCTCCATCATCACCCATCACCTGCCCACGCCGCAATACCATTGTCCCTATTCATCTCTATGACTACATTTATCAACTTCCTCCTTTACAAGCCCAATCCCATCTTGTTTCCCTTCAAGATGAACCCAAGACCTACAACCAAGCAACCAACCCAAGACCTACAACCAATGGCCGATGAAATTGCAGCCCTAGAACAAAACAACACTTGGTCCATGTATCTCTCTCTCTATATATATATCTTTGTACATGTAAACTATGCATACGAATGAGAAATTCTTGCTCTGTTTTTCTGTCTCGATACCATTCTTACATTGGCGGGTTGCATACCATCATCACAGATTGCGAGGAACTTTTGTGCTCTTTTTACTTCTTCTCTTGTCTCCTTTATTCCTCGTAACAGGTAATTGTGTGGCCCATAATTTAGCCAAAATGGGGTGTAATATCTGTAGATCCTTGACTTGATCTACACCTCCTGAAATTTTCAATTTTGTATTTATGAATTACTTGTTGCAATGAATTAGCCTACGGGCTTTTCTTTCAAAAAAAAATTGTGCGAAACATACCCAAAGAAAAAGAGCAAAGAAATCAGTGTTGATGCAGATTTAGGTCTCTACGAAATCTTTACATTAATGCTTAGGTTTTTTCTTGTTGCATAATTTAGTAATTAATCTAGATGGGGGCTAGTTCGTCACCCAATAGAAAAATGCCCTTTCTTGTGGGTGGTGACCGGTAAGCATAAAAAATAGCCGGGATTGAATCATGTTTGCAGGTTCATTCACACTGACACTGCTTTGGGGAGGAGAGAGAGAGAAATCAATCCATTATAATGAATCAAAGATAACCCTTAATTTGCTTCGTAGGCATGGAAGCTGATGACAAAGGACCGAATGGACCAATGGGGTTTACGTGTACTACAGCATAACATCTGGTTTTTTTTTCTAGTAATTAATAGGTGCGGTATTTTAGACTCTGTTTGGAGAAAGGAACTGTTCACACCGTCGATCTAAAACATTTCCTCTGATATCGACAGTTGGGACAAGGCTACCGATATTATAATTACACTGCTTCAGAGACAAAGACTTCCCTAGCTATCCTGATCATAATATATTTTTCACCATCTTTCGTTGTTCAAGAGAGACATCACCACTCGCGTCGTGGTGATGTCTGGATCAAATACAGATACTTCAATCAACCTTCCATGTGCTTCTATTATTCTTTCTTTCGAACCAATATATATACTAATATAATTTAGGATTCTTCACACAATGTGTCATTTCATCTTACTAAGAGAGGAAACTGCATCTGCATGTGAGGGTGTCAATGGACTGGTCAATTTGGACGGATTGAATGGATCAATACGATCTATTGGATTGAATCGATCCAGTCCCAAATATTTATGAAATTAGATTGGACCTGGTTCGTCTATAATAAATTTATATTAAATTAGATTGGATTAAGTTAATATCTTGCTCATTKATATAAGATATGTAAGAATAAGGTGTCAATAAATCTGATTTGGATTGAAATCAATTTAAATAGGTTGAACAGTCTAAACATTGAATTGGATCAATCTAAAATGATCTAAAGTATTCATTGAATTGAATTAGACCTGGGCTCACATTAGACTGAATATAATCGAATTGGACCAAATCCAATCCAATTGACACCTGTATATACATGCAATGCATGCATAGATAGAGGATACTTGTTTGAATTTCTTATTAATGAGTTGTTGGGTGTCAGATCTCTATGATCACCTAAAACTAACTACCTAATAATTAAACTTGTACACCTCTTTGGCTAAAGTCTGTACCTAAATCACTATTCATTTGAACCTATTAAGAAAATACAAAAAAGCTAGCCATCGTTTCCACAGACCACGGTTTTCCATGCAGCTAAATCATTAACGCTTTGTATTTGCCTTTTGTTTTATGAATTTTCCCATTGTTTTCGTGTTTGGTTTTTAGCGACAGTCGTAGAATTTTTAATGAACCATCAAGAAGTCGCAGTCATGGTCTTGGGTCTGAAAATTTCTGCGGGACTGCGGGTCACATAGGCCAAGTAAGTACTCATTACATTTAACCCAATCAACGTGAGAAAAGAAATTGGAAACTTGGTTATTCTTTCAACTACTTCTTCCATCTTCCCCACGTTGATTATCAATCGCCCGAGGTGGTATTTGCAACCCACGTTGATTATCAATCGCCCGAGGTGGTATTTGAGAGTATTTAAATTAAAAATAAGTTTTTATTGAATAATTGTTTAAAAACAAGTGTTTATTCAAATAAATATTTATTTGTATTTGGCATCCAATTTTTGTAAGCATTTATTTTTTAAAATAAGCATTTATTTTATATTGGATGTTTGAAAGCACTTTTACAAAAATATTTTTATGAAAGCACTTTTGTAAAAATATTTTTATAAAAGTACTTTTATGAAAACACTTACGAAAGTACTTTTATGAAAACGCTTTTATAAAAATATTTTTATGAAAATGCTTTTATAAAAGTATTTTTATGAAAACACTTTTATGAAAGCACTTTTATGAAAGTATTTTTATGAAAGCACATTTATGAAAATACTTTTACGAAAGTACTTTTTGAAAGAACTTTATAAAAGTATTTTTGTAAAAGTCGTATTTGCAAAAGTGCTTTCATAAAAGTATTTTCTTAAAAGTACTTCCATAAAAGTACTTTCATAAAAGTACTTTTATAAAACTCAACTAGGGATAATTTTATAAGTGGTATTTAAAATTCAACTGGGGATAATTTTGAAAGAAAAAAATTGAATATGTGCTTATTGTATAAGTACTTAAAAAAAACTGGAAATTTAGGTTTAAAAAATAAGCCTTTATTTTTAAAATAAACACTTATTTCGGACTTATTTGTTAAATCGATCAATTATCTGTTAGCGGAATATTGAACTATTGACACATATAACCCGTTTAAAAGATTACTATTTTTTTTGTATTATTTTTATTTTTGATGATTGACATCAAAGGCCAACCTGTTTGACTTGAAGGGAAAAACAGTTTAACCTCTGAGCTGGGTTTAGCTGATGTGCAAATTGGGCAGGCCAACTCGAATACATTAAATTTCAGTATGGGCTAAGCCCGAATTAAAACAATTCAGACTTGAACTCTGACTTGAATCTTAGGCTCGGTTTGTAAATACAATGTTTACAATATAATATATAAGATTTGGCATTGTTTATATTTGTATTTACACTCAGTTTGATAAAAATATAAAACAAACATATATAATACAAAACCATACGTATTATATTTTTAAATCTTATATCAACACTGTACAATGTACATATGTAAGTGCCCGCTTTCCAAACAGATTGTTAGACCTAATTGTTAAGGTTGGGCCCGGATTACAGAGTCCAACCGAAAAGTTAGATGATCATCCAGTGTGCCGCTCAAAAAAAACAACCCAGATCGCTTGGTGTGGAGCCATACTAATTCAGTATCCGCTCAAAGCTTGTTCATTGCTTGTTGGCTGTTGGACTGGCGTTCTCTTCTTACTTAATCATTCTTTCTTTGTTTATTTGGATGTCACGTAACGACTCCTGTTATATTGTTATGGGTAGCCTGTATTTTGATATATTTTTTWAAAAAATATTTTATTTTAGAAATTGTATTAAAAAGACTATTTTTATTGATATTATTTTTTGCCCAAAAATTTTTCTTATCAGTTATAATCCCAAATAAAAATAACATAATTGGCCCCATTTAGACATTTGACGAAGACCTCTTGGGCTGAAAAAGGCCCTTTTGGGCCCTGAAGCCTGAACCGTGCACAGGAAGGGAAAGGTTCACRGGCTCTAAATTCTTTCCTGAGCAACTCTACCAAGTACCAGCAAACCTACTATGACCCAATAGGGGAAATCCTTGGGATTCTATTGACAACTAGTTGTCTGAAATCTAAGAGTACATTACTAGATTTAATAGTGGGGCCCATCAGTCATCGCCTATCCCAACTGTCAGATTGGCAGCTGGAATAGGGATCTGGAATTAGGATTGGAATGGTATAGTCCAATTTCAACCATTTGATTGGAAGGGAATAACCCTCAATTGGGAATGAAAATCCATTCCAGCTGATTTTAATTCTGATTTTAATTTTGACTATAAACCAAATAGATCCTTAATTTTATCATTGACAAAAGGAAAAAGTAAAGAGTGAGCAGAAATTATTGAACCTCAATATGGCATGATGGCATCACTTTTCTGAAAATCGCAATAAAAAAACGTCTTCTGAAAATCAATAAAAAACATGGGCAGAACATTATTCTGCATAARGAGAATTAATATTTGTAATCAAGTTTTAGAATTAGTCATTCTCAGGCATTGATTTTTTTTTTTCTGCTACACAAACCGATTTCATAAATAAAATAAAAACAATCCATTATCCACAATCAAGAATGTAATTGAATGGAACAAACCAATTGTGGTAAAAGTCAATTCTAAAAAGCTATTTATCCTTTATTTAAACTAGMTAATAAAACAATCTAAACAAGAATCATGCAAGCTTTGAAATTAAACATTTATGCAAATGTAAGTGACTCTAGCTTTTCATCTTACGTATGAAGCAGAAAATAATTAAGTTGGAACAATTTTTTTCTTCAAAACCAGAGGCAGCTAATGGGAGCTTTTAACTACTTGTGACTCCCATTAGATTCAAACCAACATTCTCATGCTTCTCAGCCCGAGATTTTATCACTGTATTTTTCAAAGACTGGTTGATCAACAAATTCGCTAGAATCAGTTGGCTCTGCTGAAGCAACTATTCGCTCAAGATCTGCAACTGAAAAATATGAATATAGGAATAGGTAAAGATACTGTCAAAGGCAACCAATGGTTGCTTAGATACAATAATATGCCTATTTGATTTATTTCTATAAGCTACCTTTGAGATAAAAAGAACTACTTAACTCCTTAATTATGAAAAGCCCTTCATTTTATATGTGCTTCCATTGACATGAAAATTTTCTTTTCGGAGGGCCTCCACATCTCAATAACAATCCAAAGGACATGGAGAGCAAAAACTCTTATATGCGTCCCTACCAACATACACACATTCTGTATGATGAGAATCTAAGCTGATCTGCTGATGTTAATTTGGACCAATTTTAATCTTCATGGTGGATTGATTGAATGGTCCATCCTCGTCATCTAATATTGCAATTTTGGTCGGATTTCGGTTGGAAATTTGTTAAATTTTCAATGGGCCTGAGCCCAGATCCAAACCCGACATGGTTGACATTCTTCAAAACAGGCAATCAGACTTGGACCCCCATCGTCATCCTAATCCAGAATGGATGACAAAAAATGGGTAGAGCTGTCAATGGGCCAAATCCTGTTCAGATCAGGATACGCCTGTCCCGACCCAATGAGAAACCACCTAGACCCAAGTTTCTTTTATCATCTTTGGTTCTACTTTGTAAGACAGTGTTGATGTAAGGAGAATTTTGGTTTACCCAAATTTCTTTTTGGAGGATGGGCTGATACTGCTCTATACAGTATATAAGAGAAGAGAGGCCAAAGTATTCTTTGTTTTTTCTTTTTCCAATCCGTCTTGAAGAGCTTTCTAAAACCATAGCAAGTTTTGCAGGTAGTGGAAATACAATAGATCGATCATAGTGGAGGCAGTTTCTTAGGTACTGCATTCGTAGGTTTTGAAGTTTGGGTATTAAAGTGAGATTACCCCTAAAGTATTGGGTATTAATCTGGACTTTTTCCTTTTTTTTTTTTTTTGAAGATTTTTATATGAATTATAACATGTATCGTATAATATAAATTATTTTTTTGGAAATAAATATAATATAAATTATTAAATATATTAATATATAGTTTATTAAGTGACATAGGCCCCAAACTCAACCTGCTAGCATAGGCCTGCACCTAGGGCTGTCAATGGATTGGATGTACATGATGGATACAAACTGATCGAACCGATTATAATGATTTTGGTTCTATAATTTTGTCCTGATTAATAATTAAGTATTGTATCAATATATATATTCTTAATATATAAGATAATATTAATTAAAAATGTTTAATGTTAGCATATAAATAATTTAGTATTTTGCTATCGTTTTTATTCAGGTTATATTATAAAAATTTAAATTTTAAGTTATTGTTTAAATAAATCAATATAGTTTTCAGTGTAATCAGCTCTAGACCTAAGTCCCCAACTATTAACTGGGATAGGTCTGAATCCGTAATCTTGTCCCGATAAATAATCGGTTCATGACTGCTTCTACCTAAATCCAACTCGTTGACAACCCTTCCTGCACTGACTTGCGCCCGGGATTATATTTCACTCCTAGGGTTGAAATGGGCCAAGCCCGAGCCCAGGCTATAGTCTGCTAGTTCAACCTGGCCCATAATCACCTCTTTTGGCTAAATGAAGAATATTGAACGTAAACATTCTTTTACCCCATATCTATGGTAACGTGTCATGCACAAAAAGTTTCAAAACAGCCTAACTGTTTTTTTTAGGCAAAGTTTTTTTTTTTTTTTCCTGAAAATTAGTGCTGGTGCGGGAGCTCGAAAGGGCACTCCATTTTCTTAGTCAATTAGAACTTAACCTTATGTTTGGCTTGAAGGAAAAGGCAAGGAAAGGAAGGGAAATGTAGGAAAACCTTTACAAACCCTGTATAAGTTTTTCTGCCTTTCCCTATTTTTTCCTTGAAACCAAACACAGCCTAAGAAAATGACATTTCCACACTCATGCCATATTAAGGCTGCATTTGGCATTCCTTATTTTAAGGACTTAACTCTTTTTACAATTAAAAGCTCAATATTCATAAGGGCATTTTAACCAGAAAAAAAGAGGTAATTCCTTAAAATAAGGACTGCCAAATACAGCCTAAAAAGAGGATCTAAACAGCAGATGGGGGATGGACTACCCCATTTTGTAAACCGAGTCCAGACCAGGCCCAAGGTCAAACCGGAGCTTTGCAACCCAAATCCAACTGAACTGAAAAATGACATACTCAAGTTGGAACTGGGCTTGTATTGGTCAATTGGTCTCATGTGGACCTATTACGCCCAACCCGATGTACTAAAAAATTGCATAAAACTGTTTAGTATCATTAATCTAAATTTTTAAATAGAAAAATTATATGTTTTACATGCATACATGCATGCATGTAAGTTATATGGTACCTATGCAATTATGCATGTTATAGTCGGACTGGGTTTGGATTACTCGGGGCTAGGCCCACCTGAAAATTAGGAAAGCCTGACGATTTGGGCTAAGGCCCAGCTCAAAGACCGAGAATCAAAGCCCAATTCGTGCTAAATTGCGAGCCAAAACGGTCCGGGCTCAGGTTGGGCTGCCCAAGTTACACTTACACGCTAAGGACTTCCCCTGAATCTGTCCCTGTACGAGAGGTTAAAAGCGTAAAACCGAAGAATGCATACGCAGTTAAGACAGTGGTTCGAGACGCGGAATCAAATCCTGCAACCAACACTTTGGTGCTGGAAAAAAGGGCCAAAGAGAAGTTATAAATGGTGCATACCACCGAATACCGAGAAAAAACAACTGCGTTGTGGTTGTGGACCTACGATTCCTACGAACTATTCTAATCCGACGGCATCTACCTGACGGTAGTGAACTTATCTTACCTGAGTGGGGCATCTACTAGTTCGGTTGATTATCAGAGTGTCCATTTTCCAAAGATCAAAGGCAAATGGAGTTCAAATCTGCTTCCACAGAATGCGCCCCAGAAATGTCCCACACATCCCAATCGTCTGCACGCTACGCTGAGATGTGGATGTGGGGCTTTTTTAGGGGCGCATTCTGTGGGGGGCCGGGGCAGATGTGAACTCATGCAAATGACCCAAATTGAAATCGTCCATCGGGCATCGGGTAGGTGGTGGGCGTAGAAGCTAGGGTCGAACTTGCAAACAAACACCACCCATACGGCCATACCCAAGGCCAGAGACCAGGCCTTGGCCAGTTGGCTTGGATTTGGAGGCCACGCTACAATCTACACAACACCACCGCTATGATTTTGATTTTTCAGTAATCAGTTCTGTGATTAAATTTCGGTCTTCTGCTCAGGACTCGAAGAACTTCCGCTCCGCAGAGTCCCAGACACAGACACCATGCCTCAACCCTAAACCTCCCCAAACCCAAACCCAAACCCCAAGATGTCCACCGCCACCACCACCTTCATCTTCATCTTCCTCCTAATCATCTTTCCAATTGCAACTGCATCCCTCCCTATTTTAGGCCTCGATTCATTTCTCTCCCAGCAATCACGTCTCGACCCACAAGCTTCCAACGACTCTTTCCTTTCTCTTTCCTCATCCCTCAAAAAATCGCTCTCCGTCCAATCCTTCACCACCGTCTCCTCTCTTATCTCCTCCCTCCTCTCCCTCAAAATCTCTGTCCCCGTCACCGTTAAGCTAGTCGGTTCTTTCTCTGCCGATTCTCAATCTCTCCTCTCCTCCTTCGTCAACGCCGCTGTCTTCTCCGATAAATTCCATGTCATCGGCTCCAATCCTCATCACCTTGCTGTCGAGCACTCCCTCCACCTTGATGTCTCTCATTCTCCTATCGCCACCCAAATCTCAGAGGCAATTCGCGCTGAGATCTCTGGATCTACCTCTAGCCTCCGGTCTTCTCTTCACTCCGTCCCATACTCCGTCGTCGATCGGATCATCAAACAAGATTTCGAGAAGGAGAAGCCCGTCCAAGGGATTTATATTTACCTGCTTAATTTGAGCCCGCAATCGAAGCCCTACGCATATAGCTATGGGTCCGGAGAGGCGTCACCGGCTTTTACCAAGTGCTTGGGGACTATCTGGACAGGAAGAGATCGGTACTTGTGGATTGATTTGGCAGCGGGTCCAGTCAATTATGGCCCGGCGTTGTCTGGTGAGGGGGTTTTGCCGAGGGGAGAGTTTCACCCTTTGGCTGCATTGCACGGTCGGCCCAAGTCCCATAAAACTTTGCTCGCGGATTTGGCTTCTCTAATTTGGAGTGCGTATCAGGTTCTTTTGGTTCCTTCTTTGAGAATTCCTGTTCCGTTTGAGAGCTCGCTTATAGTGCAGTTTATTCATGTTCATAGCTCTCAAAGTAAGGATTCAATTGGGTTGGATTGGAAATCGATTGAGAGGACATTTATGGATGAGGTTAACGATGCAGGATTGCTGTTGGGAGATCAGTCCTTGAGGTTTAAGACTTACGATATTAGTTTTTCAGAATGTCCGATTTGCTCATTTGCAATTTCACGCTCCACCAATTCGTATACCTCGAGATTCTTGTTTGAGAACTATACGTTGATCGTTAGTGAGTACTTGGACTCGAAGCGTTTGCATCAGATACTATCGGATTCGGCTGATGAATTCAGAAGGTTGGCAGAGATACCAGAGGAGGATTTTGGTATCATTCTTCCCGTTTACGTGTTTGATTTGGACTACAATAGGCTTTTGTTGCTCGATCGTTATCACCAATCTGTTGCTTTTAGAGACATGGTTATTGCAGTTAGAACGACAAGCACTCAGACCGTAAGTGATTACAGCTGTAACGGCCGTCATGTAATTACACAGACACGGACTCTTGAGAGACCACTTGTTGGTTCGATTCTGCAGAGTATGTGGGGAGTTTCTCCAACCCATTTACTGTGGAACCGCAGGGATAACAGGACTCTTGTGGACTATACCTGGAGCATCGGCCAGACTCCATTTGGGCCATTTTCAGAGTTATCATCTTTGTCATTCGTGCAGAAGGATGCAGCTCGGAGAAATATTCTTTTGACATCATTGAATTACACCATTACAAGTGCCCTTGATGTGCTTGACTCAATAGCTTCTCATGGGGGTGAGAGGAATCTTCTTAAACAGAATCGACATGTGGAATTCGTGCAGAGGTGGAATTTGCTAAAATACAAGCTGGACAAAGCTATTTCATCACTATCTCATTTGGATTTTGACATGGCTCTCTATTTCTTGAGGTCATCTGAACATGATTTATATGCCATCCACTCGCTTGTTTATCATGCATCGCAAGAACTTGAGGCTTCTCTTGTTTGTTTCAAGGATCCACCATTTCCATGGGCTTCGGTATCAATGGCCGGAGTGGCTTTCTTTGCTTTCTTGTATGTTTATGCCAAAAGGGACAAGATCTTTAGAAACAAAAGAAAACAGTTTTGATGCTATGGAGGAGAAATTTGTACCAGTTGAACATCTGACAACCATGTTTTCTTGTAAAAGAGGTAAGTTGCAAATTGAAAGATGGGCATTTAGTTTAATTACGCCATGGACTGCAGTCAAAACTAGATGTCTTTCAATTTTACTTCTTTTCTAGTTTGACTTAATTTTTAGCTTTGGGACCATAAGTTCTTTAACTACAAATATGGGCTTCAATCAGTATAAGTGCATCTGTCTCAGAATGTTGTTCTTGTCGTGGCCTTGAATGTTACACATAATTCTGATTATCCATGATTTGTTCCACAACTCACCCTCATTTAACACCATATTCTTAAAAGTTCTTTAAGTTTTTCTTGTTTCTATTTCTGGGCCATGGTACACTCATCATAGAAAATGTTCTGGCTTGCAGCCAACTCTATAAAGAATATTATCTTCATAATTCCGGTTTTATATAATTTGAGATCAACCCCAGCTTTATGTATTGTACAAGTACAACTATATGCTTTGGCAGGTTTCAGTAATGAATTAGTATCTGAATGTTTATAGCCCGAGCCAACTTGGACAAACCGGTGCTAGTTTGGTGTCAGTCTTGTTGTACAAAATTCAGCTTCTTGGTTAGAAAGGAATGTAGGCTTAGCAAGAACATAACTATATAAGCTTATATTCTTTTTTTGATAAGTTATAAGCTTATATTCTTTCACTTGAAAGTTGAAACCAAAAATTTTCACTGTTAATTCTTGATGTTCTCCAATGCCAGAGCAATATATAAATGGCTGAAGATTCTTCCTATCAAGGGGATGATGTTTCTATGAATATCTGAGGGAAAACAAGGATTGGTTGACTTTTAAGATGGACTTAAGGCTGAAATTACAACAATAGGTTGTTGTAAGCAAATCAGTCTAAAGGAGCAAAAATAAAGATGAAATAAAAAGGGAAAGAGCGGCTTGACAAGGATCAGTATCAAACTATAGATAGGCCACAAAGCCCTCAGCTCGCTTTGTTGAGGCTTTAGCTTAAGTGTACCCAGCAAAAGAAGCTGGTGAAAACTCAAGAATAATTATTAAGTCTGAGCTATGTTATTTAGGGATTACAGAAACTTCATAAGAGAAATCACAAATAGATAAATACTCATAAAAAAAAAGAAATATCTAATAGATAAAAAATAAGAAAAGAAATAAAGGTGGGGGATGATTCAGCAATGAAGAAGGTAAAAAAGCAATAGACGTGTCGGTTGGGAATGCTGCACTTAAGAATCTCTTTCCTTCTTTGTATTCTAATTCTTTTTTTAAAAAAGGAACCATTGCAAAGTCTGTATCTTCCATGTCTCTCTCCATTGGGATTAATCGGGACTTGGGCTTCAAAAGGGGTTTGAGAAAGTGTGAGTTTGATTCTCCGGCTAGTCTTTTATAACTTTTAGACAAAGTGTGGTTGGACCTTTCCAGGTTTGATGGGTCTATCTGGTCCCCTCACCCATCTGGGTCTTTTATTTGTGCCTCTTTCTTCTCTATTTTGTGCTCTACTCCTTCCCCTCAGCCCTTTCATTTGGAGGAACTTTGGTACAAACCTATTCCCCCCCCTCCCCTCCTAAAGTTAGTGCTCTGCATTGGGAAGTGTTTTATGGGAAGATTAATACTATGAACAATTTACAAAAGAGAAATCATTTCCTTTGCTTGTCTCCAAACTGGTATTTTTGCTAACTATTGGAGAGAGCTGCTACCACCTACTAACCTCCTGTCCAGTTGCCGCAGGTATTTGGGAAAAAAATTTTTCCTTATTTGGGTGTAGGTGGACTTTGCCTCTGGAGATACACAAGCTGTTTAGTCCTTCCACTTTTAGATGTCCAAAGAGAAGGGGCAAAATTCTTTAGAAATATGCAAGGGATACTCTGGTTTGAACCATTTGGGAAGAAAGAAATGCTAGAATCTTCCTTGTGAAAGAGAGAAACAAGGAAGCGCTGATGGTTTGCATAGTAACAAGGTTGATACATTAGAGGTTAAAAGTTAAAACTTCACTTCCTCGCAATTCTTTTTTTTTTTATGATATTTGGAGGAACTGGAATTTAGTTGCAAAAAACTCCTCAAAGAAGGAGAAGACCATCTCCTGTTGTTACCACCTGAAGATGACTTTATTAAGCTAAACTTTGATGGAACAACCAAGGCAACTTAGGTCCTTCAGATATATGGATGCTTTTAGGAACAAAGGAGTTGTGGCGGGGGATTTAGTTAGAGCTGGGCTTCTTGTTGTCCATTTGTCCTTCATGGGGTATAGCTAGCAAGACAGATGAATTTTGGCAAGTTGGTTATTGAAGGAAACTCCAAGCTGGTAATAGGAACTGGCACCATTTACATGGGCCATCCAATCATTCTTTTTTTTTATCATGTCATGGTAGCTTATTTTATTTCAAAATGGGAGACTTAACAGTGGTAACTCCAGTCAACTCTTAAGTTTGAATTATACACTCTTCCATTCCCAACCCTTTGGAAAATCCTTCCAGCTTCTGCAGTTGGAGAACTTTCACCACTGAACATATCTACTGCTCACCACTCCCATCAGCACATTGTCTCCGCTGTTACAAAGTCTAATTTGAGTTGATGACCACAAAAATTACTGGTTTGGGTTAGTACAGGATCACCAGAATTTTGGTGGCATGAGGTGACTGTAGCGGAGACAGAGATAGGGCTGGTTTGAGTGGTGGGGTGATCGGAGCTGGAGGTATGGAGTGATTCATGATTATGGTTGATAGAGAGATGGGACTGGTTTGGGTTGATAGGGTGGCCAAAGGCAGAAAGAGAGAGAGATTCTTACACCACCTCTTATGATTCAGTTTTTAAATTCAATCCACCGCCTGTAGGTTACATAGCATCATTTTATTCATACAGATTCTTACACGTGTTTGTTGCTTCTGTTCTTTTTACTCCACCGCATCTTGGTGTCAATGACCTAATGGGAGAACAGAGGCTTGTTAGAGCAGATTCAAACTCTTTTCCTCTAGCATTTGCAGTGATTCCAAATACCATTAATTTGACCCCTATTACAGGTGCTTCCGAAAGGTGAATAATGGGACTCAAACAGCAACAATAGAGTGGTCTCAGACCAAGAACAATAGCAAGCAGGGAAAGCATGAGTTTCAGAAGCCTTAGGGGGCACTAGTTTTCATGGTTCCATTTTTGGTTTCCGGTGGAGATTTACTGAACTTGTTCTTCTTCTAGTTGTTTGATCCCTTGGGCTAAATGCAAACCAAAATACTCAATAGATGATTCTCTCCCCACCTCGCTGTTCGATGCATCCTCCCCTTTCCTCCGCTACTGTAACTCCCCCTGGTTGCTAAACATAAACTAGTCCGGTGTAAAACTATGCCCAATCTATTTCTACGAAACTCAGGAAATCTTTTTTAAAAATTTGGGATTTCATCACTTATTTGATCCGAAATTTTGGATTTTGTATCAAAGTTAATAAGAATAAATAATATAGATATACGTACGCTTTAGCATAGAAAATCAACATAACAAATAAATAAAGTTCTATAAAAATATGCACTAAATTCTCAAATTCGGAAAAAGCATTTTGAAAATTGTCCGAGTACTCCAAAAATAAATTCCTGCATTTGCCCCACAAATCAGAGCCCCACGTGGGGGATTGGCATCATAGTAAAAAATCCCGCATTTCCTGCATTTGGATGGCTTAAATTTTTACGTTCCTTAATCCTGTAAAAAGCTTTTGGTTTGAATCTGGAATCTGGTCCGACTTCTACTTTCTACAGTGCTAAGACGGGGCATTACAACTCTCAAGTCCCTCATTTTCTTCTGAAGTAACTTTTATTGTGACAAAATCCAAAGCACCTCAAAAGGGTCGTTTTAGTTCAAGAATTAGGTTACCTAAGATCGGTTGAATAACCAATTTTGAGCCCAGTTGTGTGGAAGGGTTTTGTTTAAAGGCTGAAGCTTTCCTTGAGTTGTTTTCGTTGAGTTGCTTTGGACAAGCCAATAAAACAAGCTTCATGGCAAAGCCTTTTTTGTTTGGCTGAAATGCAGCCAATCTGGGCTTTCGGTGTTTTTCACCATACATTACTTGTAACTACCCGGGTCATATTCGGCATGATATTGCCAACTACAGTATGAAGCAAAAACTTCGGCTGGCTGGTCACCATAAAAATTAATCCTCTCAAAACTTCAAACTTTTTAACATTGTATCACACGTTGCCAGTTAAACCTTCATTCTAGAACAAACCATCACTAATCCATATATCCACAAGGTCCAAAAGCCAACATTTTCTTGCGGTAACTCCTCGTTTCTGTTGCCAAAGCTTCTGCCAGGCTTTCTCCGGGATAGATTTGGTATAAATTGATTTAGATGGAATAGCGAAGGCTACTAAAATCCCGAGGTGTTTCAGTATTCCCTTTCTTTCTGTTGACAGAAAATCAGAAATACTATCTACTCCACTCCAAGTCAGCCTGATAGTTAGGACTGGCGTTGCTGACACGACCAGGATCATCTGGTTTGATGGAATCCACAAAAGCATGCCAACCAATAAGATATGGCAAGATAAACTGCACACATTCAACAAAAAAGTCCAAAACCATTAGACGGGACAGAAATTGTATGCGTGTATAAAGCCATTTGTAATAAATAAAGGGCATAGACGAATGAATGAAATCAGTGTCAAGTTCAAATAAGGACATAGACTAACTTGACACTGCTACGGTATGATAAAGAACCTTGTTGCAAAAATGGCATGACAAATCAGCAGGGAATAAACCTAAGGATATTAAACTAGATTCCTTATGTAAACCAAGTAAAAACAAAGGCTTTCTATTGATGAACCATGAAATATAACCACTGTCGAGAATAACAGTGTAGCCACAGTTAATTCATGCTATTACATGGGGAATGCTGGAAGAAAGAATTAAAGAAATAACACAGGACTTTTAAGAATAAAGCCTTTTCCTTTGATGACCTAAGATGCCAAGGAATGACCTTGATCAACTTTTGAATGGCACCACCAAGGAGTTTGATGGAATCAGATTTGGGGACTTACAAAGGTATTGCTTTGAGCTCTTACACACTTCGCCTTTTGATTCCCATCCCTGTAGCCTGTAATCCTCCTCCAAGGCAGGCAAGTGATTACATCCTCCAGTTGATGGTAGCTTCCAAAAAGGTCTGGGCACCCCTGTCTGCTGGCATTGGCAGCCAGATTATTGATACCAACGGTGACTTGACTTGGGTCTATAGTGGGCCCACTTCAACAGAGGATACTTCAGGTTCAGGTGCAGAAATCCATGCCCTCTTGGAAGGACCCAGAATAGCCAAGGCTTGCCCAATCAGATCTCTAGCAGTGGAAGAGATTCTAGAGTTGCTACAAAATGGGCTAAAGCCCCGGGCTCTAGCCCATGGAAACTGTCCCACTTTTTACATGAAAGTTGGGAAATTTCCTCCTCTATGATGTGCAGCTTCATATGGATCCCAAGAGATCTGAATCAAGTGGCTGATGGGTTAGATACGCTGGGAAGGGATATTTTGTATAGTGCTAATACAACGCCTTACTAATTGATTTGGGCTCTTGCTTCTTTTTTGTTGTTTTATCAAGGCCCTCGTAGACCCTCTCATTCACACCCTTCCTTTTTTTATATAATACAAGTTATCTTTATATATACCCACAGTTGTCCATTGGCCTGAATTTATCAATATCTCAAACTTAAAACAAGCAATAATTTAGCCAACCATCTGATTGATTGACTTTGGAAGGATTTCACCAATACTCTATTAAAAATTCCCCATCAGAGGTTAAGGTCATCTGATTTTAGCAAGGAGCCATATTAAAAAAATGGAGTGGGTGATTCTTTAAGAGCTGAAGTTTTGGCACTGATGGAGGGAGTACAAAGAGCAAGAATCTTGGATCTAAGGAAGCTAATCATTGAGGAGATGCCCAACTAGAATTGTCTAGCTACAAAGTGAGGAGACAAATTGAAAAAGCATTGTTGGAATCATCTGTGTAAGTTACCTTCAAGGACCTTATTGTAGGTAACAAGAACCAAGGTAATGAATAAAGGTAAGTTCGTACAAGCAGCACCTTGGAGAAGGGTTCTGAAGGTCGAAGCAAAACAGTTCCTCTTTGAAAGTTTCAGAGTGAAGGGGGAAGTAGCCATTAAAATCAGAGAAATGAAAATGGCTATGGTTTTCTTGGTAGGGGAGGAGGGGATCGTGTGATTCAAGACCTTCTTGGAAGAAGCCACTCAACTGAGTTCAAAGCTGGAATGAAAAGACTCAATAGAAGCCTGTTGTAGGAAGTATGTGGCAGTAAGAAGAATGAATGCAAAAGGAAGGTTTGTGGTGTTAGAGTTCTTCCAGAAAACAGGTAGGCAAATGGTCTGTTTCCCGGAAGGAAAACAAACAATTGGCTGGAAAGAGATCTCAGAGGTTTTGAAGAATTTCTGTCAATGGGGAGGAACAGCAAATTATTAGAGGAGAAATTTTTGAGAAGCCAAAGGAGAAACAAGAACTCAGTGAAGCTTTTGTAAGAAGGAAGGAGCAAGTGATTTTCAAAGAGACATAAGGGATGAAGATGATTGCTGTGGGACAGGCTACAAAAAGATTGTAGGTTAATCCTCAAAACTTCCACAGCTCCATTGATTGATTGGAAGAAGATTGATAATGAGTTACTGAAGAAGTTAAACTTAAAGTGCACTATCATCATAACTCCTTTTGAGAAATAAAATCAAACATATAAAACATTTTCAAGCATGTAAAACCCACAATCTCTTTTTTCTCAATTGCATTACTTCAAGTAGCTAATGTGATGTAAAACATACCGATTCTATGAACCGCCTTTGTGCCACACCCTTGAGGCAAGCCCAAACAAGTCCATGTTAGGGTCTTAAATTCTTAATTCTCACACAAAAAAATAATGATTTTATAATTTTAATTGCTTTTTAAGAAGATATTTTATTAGGATTAATGAATGAACAACATTACTAAATAGGTTCAAAAAAGGAAAAAGCATCAAATTTTCAAAAGGCGTACACTTGGGCTAAGGGCTTGAGGCACAAGGCACATCAGGCACACCAAGCGTGCACCTTTTGAAAGAGCTGCACCTAGGACCTGGGCAAGGTGCCTACCCTAAAATGTGCCTCACCGGTGCACCTAGGTGGACCATTTAAATCATTGCAGCGGATAAAACAAGAAGGAATGGGAGATGGGGTTAAAATCCTATGMGCGAAGGCCCTAACAAGTGGTAGCATGGGGCAGATGCTTGGGGTGCAGGTTTCATTACTAAAGAACCTTAACAATCAAAAGACAGATCTTGGCGTGGCTCAAGTCCTCAGCAAAAAGAAACATACCTAGGGGTGCTCACAGTTTGGTTAACCGAATCGTGGGGTAATTTTCTAGACCGAACCAATAGGTTCGATTTTTACATTCAACCGAACCAATACAACCGGTCGACCGGTTAACCATGGTTCAGTTTTTCGGTTTTTTATGCCCTTAAAATTAAAAAGAAAAAAGAAAAAACACGGTAACTGGGATCACTAGTGTCGCCGAGATGCATTAGCCTCTAACCCGTAGGCTGAGCCTCCAGTGCCGCAGATCACCAGTGTCGGAGGCCGTCGGTGAATCGGTCGGAGGGCGGAGCTCCAAAGGCCAGAACCAGAGAGAGAGAGAGAGTTCAAAGAGAGACTGAGAGGCGAGAGAGAGAGAGAGATCAAAGAGAGATTGAGAGGCGAGAGAGATTTCAGAGAGAGACTGAGAGGCGAGAGAGAGAGAGAGAGAGGGAAAGAAAAAGAAGGCCTGCGTAGCGGCTAGTGGGTGTCAGTCTGTCAGACGACTCAGACTGGCAGCCAGCAGGTGCCAGACTGGCGAACCTATCTCATCTCTCAGTTTGGCACTCTGAACACTCTCAGACTGAATTTTCGGTTCGGTTTCTGTTGGTTTTTTCAGTCGATTCGGTTTTTCGGTTTTTTTTGCACACCCCTTAACAATACCTTGATGGAGAGCCAGGTGGATGAGAGTAGAATGGGCCATGTGGGAACAAGTAAAGAGGGGGAATTGTTGGGCCTTCAAAATAAATCAAATGGGTCGATGGCTGTCAACATGCCAAGGAGTTCAAGTGGGCCCAGTGTTAAAGAGAATGAAGCCCAAAGGCTAGAAGTGGGGCCAAGCCATGGACTTAATGTTTCTGAATTCCGATCAAATTGGGCCAGTTGGGCCTAGACTTGATGTAGTTGAAGGGGCAGGTTCAGATAACCTCTTAAGTAGTCACGTGGGGGTTATTGTGAGGTCGACAATGGACACTAACTCTGGTCCATCATCGTCCTCCCCACAACCTGGAGCACCACTGAACGTATCTCAGAAGCAAACAAGCCTAAGTTGGAAACCAATAACAGTGAAAACGGTGCAATCTCCAAAACGTCATAATCCAAGGAGCAAGAAATGTCATTCCAAAAAAGCTATTGACGTGGAAGGCCTTATTTCTTCAAGTGAWGAAGACTCRGACTCTGAAGATGTAGAGATTTCAAGCATCGACAGTGTTTGCTTGGAAAGAAATGTTGGGTTCCAAGAGGCTGAAAGTTTTGACACAGAATAGCTGTTTCAGGAGATTGCTCGAAGAAACATAACAAACTCGACTGTACCTATTTTTCTTGAGGCTTCGACGGAAGGAGGCATGGGAGAAGAAATTGCTATTGGCAAAGGTGTTGAACACTATTCGACAGATTTAAAAGTGATCGTGGGGACCGAGCATATGCAGGATACTTTGTTAGTGGCTACTAACTTACCTCCTTTGCAAAGTGGAGACACACTACAGGGGAATTTGGGTGAAAAACAAGATCAGCCACTAAGTCTGTTAGGTGCTGCCTAACTCAGGGTCCGTAGAGTGAACCAGCACTGACCCTTGGATAGAATACCCCAGTTTGTCCCCTGGTTGCTGCAACAACTGTGCCTTTATTGCTTGGAGTTCCTTATTACTGTCTGCTTCCTCCCGTAATTGGTCCCATAGCGCTGTAGTGGGTTGTTGAAACACATGTAATTGGAGTATGCTCTCCACTAGATGTTTGGGTTGACGTGACAGTGCATCAGCAACTCTATTTGTTGCGCCCAGTTTGTATTCAATAGTGTAATCAAAGCCCATCAACTTTGATACCCAACGCTGCTGGTCTAGAGAAAGGACCCGTTGTTCCAATAGGAATTTCAGACTTTGGTGATCAGTCTTAACCACAAACTTACGGCCTAGCAGGTAGGAGCGCCAATGCTGAACTACCAATACAACTGCCATCAATTCCTGGTTTTAGACAGAAGAATGATTTTGTGTGGTAGATAATGCCTTACTGAAGAAAGCAAGGGGCTGACCATCTTGCACCAGCACTGCTCCCACGCCCATTCCCAGTGCATCGCACTCAACCACAAAAGGTTTGTTGAAATCTGGTAAAGCTAGAGCTGGTGGGGATGACACCGCTGCTCTTAAGGCTTCAAATGCTACTTGGGCTTTGTAGTTCCAGATGAAAGAGTCTTTCTTTAGAAGGACTGTCAGTGGTGCTGCAATTATCCCATAGCTTTTAATGAAGCGTCAGTAGTACCCTGTGAGTCCTAGAAATGCCCTGAGTTTCTTGGTGTTACATGGCGTTGGCCACTGTTGGATGGTAGCTATCTTGTCCGGGTCTGCTGAGACCTTTCCATCTTCCACCTCATGGCCCAAATAGTGTACATGGCCTGCTGAAAGGCGCACTTCGATTCTTTGGCATACAACTGATTTTGTAAGAGAATGTCTAGAGTAATCTACAAATCCACTAAATGTTGGGCCCATGTTGGGCTGTACACCAAAATGTCATCAAAAAAGACTAATATGAAACGACGTAAATGTGGCCTAAACAAGTCCGGAAGGCCGTTTTTTGGAATGTCACTTTCATGGACTCTAATCTGATGGTATCCAGCCCGTAAATCCAACTTTGAGAAAATTCTTGCAGTCTTGAGTTCACTAGGAGCTCATCTATTACCGGAATTGGAAAGCCGTCCTTAACTGTAATATTATTAAGTGCCCGATAATCCACACAAAATCGCCATGTCTCGTCTTTCTTTTTGACAAGAAGAACGGGTGAAGAAAATGGGTTGTGGATGGGTTGAATAAAATTTTTATCCAATAGTTCTTGAACCTACTTTTCAATTTCTTGTTTTTGAAAATAGAGATAACAATACAATGGTAGGAGATGCATCCGGCAATTGTGTGATATTGTGGTCATGATTCCTTGTTGGGGGTAGGTTCGTTGGCTCCTTGAAAACTGCAGCATATTGTTGGAGAATGTTGTGGAGCTGTTGTTTGTAATCAGCTTGAGTCGATGTATCCTGGGCCTAGGATAACATTGAGCCTGTATGATTTGATCCCCAAATGGTGAGCTGATTTGGGTCTCGTGCTTCTTTCAACATGGATGCCAAGCTTACTGGGCTGGCTCGGCTAGCTGAGTGGCCTTGCAAATGCACTTTTGTTCCTTCTATCATGAAATCCATAGACAAACAGGCCCAGTCGCATAGAGCAAGCCCAAGTTGCTGTAACCATTGAATTCCCAATACATTGTCGGCCCCACTTAACTCCAATGGGTAAAGATCAATCAGAAATTGTTGCTCTTGGATGCGTAACCCAATGTCTGTGCAAATTCCATCGCATTGGAGTGAGGTCCCATTTGCCACATGGACCTTAAATGAGGYTGTGGGCTGAACTGGHAATCCHAATCKTTTGACTAGCACAGTGGTTACAAAGTTTAGAGTGCTACCACTGTCAATGAGGATAGACACTTGGCGACCCCGAACTAGACCCATTGCGTAACCCAATGTCTGTGCAAATTCCATCGCATTGGAGTGAGGTCCCATTTGCCACATGGACCTTAAATGAGGTTGTGGGCTGAACTGGTAATCCCAATCTTTTGACTAGCACAATGGTTACAAAGTTTAGAGTGCTACCACTGTCAATGAGGATAGACACTTGGCGGCCCCAAACTAGACCCATCACCCTCATGGTTTGGGGTGATGAAAACCCCGCTAGGGCCTATAACGAGATTTCTAGATGTATGGTCTCAGCCCAGTGTTCATCAGTCAACGATCTTTCTTCCCRTTGCTGATCCTCTTCTTCCTCCTCAGTTTGTAATAAGAAGGCTTGTTGAGATTTGCATCTATGGCTAGGGCCGAACTATTCTTCACAATTGTAGCAAAGACCTTTGTCTCGGCAATTTTGCACCTCTGCCCATGTTAATTTCTTGAATGGAATAACAGCACTCGGGCCTAAGTTACCTGGTGATTTGCCTAAGATGCTGCCTTCTTTATTGAGTCTCGTCCCTTCCAGTATGGGTGTCATAAATGATTTGTTTGTCTGCTGCCACGGGCGGTTTAGATGTCGGGCTCGAGCTATCTTTTCTTCTTGGGTGCAAGCTAGGGCTGTCGCGGCCATCACAGTTGATGGATGCATCACCTTGACCTCCAACTGAATTTCTTCCTTGAGTCCTCCCACAAAAGCTCCGACCAGAGCCTTCTCCAACCACCCTTGGACTCTTAACGATAGACGTTCAAACTCCAACTGGTAGTCACAAACACTTCCTACTTGCTTTATCTTCGCAAGACTCTCATCAAAATCTTCATAATCGAAAGCTCCGAATCAGACACACAGGGCATCCGTGAAGTCGAGCCATGAAATACGGGGGTGCCCTCGACGGTACCACTGATACCAGAGAATTGCATCTCCATCCAAACCAACGCCACCCTATCTGGTCTGGACGTTTCGTTTGGTGTTCCAAGGGATGGGGTCTCCGCCTGAGAAGACTGGGAAGCTTAGTTTGGTGTTCCTTTCCAACGTGGGGCTGCTTCTTCGGTTACTTCCTTGGCTAACCCGATCCTGGTCGATTTCCTTATCTTCAACCGGCGAGCCCTGTTCCAGTCTTTGCAAGATCTTTGTTAGTGTATCCTTGATACCTCACATCTCGCCTGAGACTCGGTGGAGCTCGACTTCCACCTGATCAACTCGTGCCTCCATGGCTGTAGATCGCGTATTGGTCATGCTCAGATACCAATCTGTTAGGTGCTGCCTAACTCGGTTCGTAGAGTGAACCGAGCTCCTAAGGAGAGAGGAAAAACAGAAGGGGAAACAGAGAGAGAGTTGTTCGATGGAATGCTTGCCTTCATCCTTTCTTCCTCTGGTCTTTATAGCACGGGTAAGTTGTTTACAGTTTACAGTTTGTTACAAGACTGTTACAGTTTGTTGTAGGACTGTTACTTTGTTCTAACAGTCTGCCACTTGGATTAACCTCTTGTTGACGTGGCTTCTCCCTTTTCTTGTAGACTTGACATGTAGGCTGGCTGTTTCTGTGCACGGGTCTTGGTTTCTGTGCATGGGTCTTGGTTTGCCGCAGCTCTTGGTCTTAACAAAGTCCCTCTGTCCAGACCAGCACCAGGCCTCTTGACACAGGAGTGGAAACAAATCTTTGTGGGCTGAATACTAGTCCAAGAAGTCGTGGTCTTCCTATAAAGCCCCCCCCCCCGGAAGGTCTCTGGGAAAAGCTTTTTAGTCCCTTTGGGCACAAGTGGACAATGCCAATGCAGATTAGCAGTCTATTTGGACCTACAACTTTCAGATGGCCTAAGAAAAGAGGTACAGTCTTGTGGAGGTGTGCTAAGGCCGCACTGGTTTGGACTGTCTGGGAAGAAAGAAATGCCAGGATTTTTTATGAGAAGGAGAGGAATGAGGTAATTGTATGAGAATGCTTAATTAATAGAGCAATCAATTGGGTGAAGACCTTGGAATTATTTTCTCCTTTCTCCTTTGATGATTTATGGAGAAAATGGGAGACCTAAACCATTAGTAGAGTGGAAACCCCCTCAAGAGGGTAAGGGTATCATTAAGCTCAACTTTGATGTAGCAGTTTAGGCAACCCAGGTCCTTCTGGTGTTGGGGGAGTGTTCAGAAATACAGACGGGCTAATCATTGTTAATCGGAGGTGATTCCAAGCTGGTGATCCAGTGGTCAAAAGAACCAGAAACAGAAGCCTGGTCCTATAAAGGGGCTTTACGAAGGTTCAAATGAACTACAAACATGTCAGTTCAATTCCAATGGGAAAGAAGATCAGCAAACGGGTTAGCACTCACTAGCTAAACAGGGGGTGCATAGGAATCAGATTTTTTGACTAAACTGTATTTCTTTGTTTTATTCTGAGGCTGCACCTCATGCCTCATCTTGGGAACTTTCTCTGTATGTCTTTTTGCTACTAACCTATTAATAAAATCATTCATTATTCATCAAAAAAAAAAAAAAAAAGAGGTTAAGGTCATCTTGCAAATTTTATTTCACAAAGCCAACGACTTATGTAAGTGTTTGCTATCAATTTGGATATGCTGGATCAATCAGATTGCAGCAAGCTTATTCAGGCTTCTTTGTTTTACAAGACTCATACACGGTTTCATCACTATCTACGGTGACAAAATCTTCAGACATAAGCAATCCAATAATTTCTTCTAATAACAGTTAAAGGGGGGGAGAGCCAAAAAGGGAGAAATAACATACATTAAAAGCTGATACGAGAACCGTTAACTCTGCTTTGGTAATCGGAATATAGATACTTTCATCCACATTCAAGAGCTTGTTCTGGACACCTATAATAAATGGCACAAAACAAAAGGAGAGCAGATGTTACATCTGGGAGAAATTTCTTTGGAGATAACAAGTGTCATAAGCAATATATGATCCTTCTTGGATCGCAAATCACCGAATGAAAAATGGAGAAACATTCAGTAGTGCTTGGACTAATGCAAGTATTTTATATAGGCTTTTGAGACAATCTAGGAAGATCTTTTAAAACTGAACTATAAACAGAAGACACCATATGGGAAATCAAATTAAGGAGTCCAGCTTGACTGGATGCATCTAATCATTAAATAATCATTTTCAAAATGATAAAATCAAATGGCTTGATAAAATAAGTTGGTCATAGCTTGGTGGTGGTATTGATAAAAAAAATCAAATGGCTTGATTTTTGGAGTTAAAAAACTTTGACACATAGCTTACAAGCTGACCATTTTGTTAATAAAAGCATTTATAAGTTTTAAATCAATGACTGTGGTATCTAAAGCATGGTTTACCAAGGGTTACTTGACGCCAGACCTACAACATTTTTGAACTCAGAAATTGGAGCTTTTGTTGCCATCAACAACTGACCAGGTCCAGAATGATAATAAGTGGGACTAAGTTCTTCAGACAATCTAAGTTTGAAAAGAAAATGTGATGGAATATGGATATGTTACTCACCCATAATTAACAAGGGTTTCATCATAAATTAGCCAAAAGTATGGTAGCAGATAGAGTGGCAATTTCTGACCCAACCAACCCATCTACTTATAATGCAACTATTTAAGAGGTAGGTTGAATATGGGTTGAGTCACCTATTGGGTCAAAAAAAAAAGGGTTGGGTTTGGTTGGATTAAAGGTGTCTATTTGGGTCAACTACATGAAAAGTTACATATGCCACCCTCTCCCTTTTTTGATAAGTCATATGCCACTTCTCCCTCTTCTCTTTCCTACTGATTCCTTCCTTCTACTCTCCTCCTGAATCCCAATTGTGTCTCCCTCTTCTCTCTTCTCTCTCCTCTCTCCTACCTGTTCCCTCTTTCCTACTCAAGTCCAATTTGAACCAACCTCAGTAGTGGCATTTGGCATTACATGAGAACCCAAAGTTTTTCTTTTCTCAATGAGGATTCATTTACATAGGTTTAAATGTTTAAATGGGTGGTTAGGTTGAGTCAACTGTCAACCCGTGCACATGTTAGAGATATAAGTAATTAATGGATGTAAGTAGTTGGTGAATAAGTTGGTTTTCAACCTACATCCAATCCAACTCATCCATTTGTCACCCCTACTCTCCTAGTAGCAGGTTATTTTAAATGGGTGGTTAGGTTGAGTCAGCCCGTGCACATGTTAGAGATATAAGTAATTAATGGGTGTAAATGGTTGGTGAATGAGTTGGTCTTCAACCTACATCCAATCCAACTCATCCATTTGTCACCCCCACTCTCCTAGTAGCAGGTTATTTTATTGGATCACCTATAATTTTATAACAATATTGTTTTATAATCAGCAGTTTCATGATATCATTAAGGAATGTGCCTTGAAGGGGACCAACCAAGACCATCATGTGAGAAGTTCAGACAGATGATATGCACAGCCACATTCCACCAAATAGGGTAAAAGGGCAAATAAAATGCATCCACCCCAAGATGTTGGATACTACTGGTATATGCACATACACAAAAACAAATAATAAATAATGTATTAGTCTATTAGACAAAAGAGTTCAGAAATGAGATTATTACTGAGATTAAAGAAATGCCCAGAGCCATCTGGAAGGGGTTCAGCTTTCAAGACCTTCCTAACTTTTCCTTCTTCACTGCAAAAGACAATAATTTTTTTGATGGGTAACAGTAAACCAGTTTCACTGATGATAATATGTTGCAAAAGACAACAAAATTTACCTGATAGTTGAATAATTCCAAAACAAAATCCTCTAAAATAGGAACTCCAAACTCCATATTCCAAAAGAGAAGTAAAACATGAAGAACACCAATTTTAATGATGGTAGTTGAGGCAAATAACAACAAAAAATTCCCCCATCACTAGTCAGGGCTTCATCCAAGATATCGTGCACACTAAGATGCAGAAGATCGGTGCCAGTGGTGATATGATGATATCGACATGCCAGCTAGTGTAAGGCCCTGTTTGAGTAGGCTGGGCTGGGCTTTTGAAAGCTAAAAAGCCCAGAGAAAATCTTTTCTGGTTTGGCAAGGTATTCTTTGAAAGCAGCAGGCCAGCAGAAGTTGAAGCCCAAAAATAGGCCAAAAACAGAAAGCTTCATGTGAAGCTTCCATTACTTTTTTTATTAAGATTTGAGCTTTGAGAAAATAATGCAAAGAACCCACATGTTTTGTTATTGGAAGTGATAACTTCATTAAAGCAAATGAAAGTAATATCAAATACAACTGTCAACCCCTGAAATAGGGTATTGATCCCAAGGTAATCCTTTATTACAACCAAGGTTTAAAATATCAATACAGGCCGATAGGCCCGATACGTCGGTAGCAGCATATCAGCCTGTATCGAAGCTCACTCTCCCTTTTTTTTCTTTGAAACTGATTCAGAGGGGTCGGTCTAAGGCTGGTCTACCCCCTGAACCAGGTCAGACCCCGATACGACCCCTGTAGGGGCGTATCATTAAGCCACTGATACGATAAGATATGCCCAATACGGGGCATATCGTATCGAAACTTTGAACCTTGATTACAACATTGCCCAGAATAGATTGTCCCTCATAGTCCCTTGTTTAGCTAAGGTATCAGCTAGTCCATTAGCTGACATTCTTGTCCACTTAAAAGAAGCACCAATCTCCCTTATTATGTTAAGGATTTCCCTTGTGGATTGTCTTTATACCCAAGCTCCCAAACTACCCAACTGCAACCAATCAATTAGCAATTTAGAGTCTCCTTCTATCTCAATTTGGTGTAACCCCAACTTTTTGGCACATCTTACACCTTGAAGCAAAGCCATCACCTCCACTCTCAACAAGTCTCCAAATCCTATAGGCCCCAAAAACATAGCAAAAATTTTATCATCTTCATCTCTGAATACTCCCCCTATACCCGAAGGCCCAAATTGCCTCTAGAGCTCCCATAAAAGTTCAACTTCATCCTTTCTTGTGTTTGGTGGGGACCACCGTTTCTGCACAATAGATCTTAGGGAAGTTGTATTTACTACCTCTCTCCAATTCTTGTAAATGTCCTCAGATGAGAAGTCTTTGAACAAATCAATTGATTTCAACTAGTGAATAACCATAATAGATATTCTTTCTATAGTTTCCTCCTTAGATTCTCTACTCCATTAAAGATCCTATTGTTTCTTTCTTCCCCAAGCTGATCAGAGAATAGCTGTTCTTGTGGCTCTCCACATAATTCTTCCATGCCTCTTCAGTTTCCTAAAAAAACTTGAGTTAAATAGAGACTTACCACATCCAATGGAGGTGTCCACCTGCAGCCAAAGTGAGAGGAGAACCAAATCCAAGTAAAGAGTACAAAAGGACAAGAGGTTAATAAATGTGTGATGGTCTCACCAGAACCCAAGCAAAGACTACAAACACGGGGTGAGAGGAAAAAAGTTGGCCTTTTTCTTTGCAACACATCCAGAGTATTGATTTTTTGGAGTACCATCTCCTAGCAAAAAGCCCAAATTTTTAGAGGTACAAGGCTAAACCAAACCTCCTTTGAAGGAAAGTTCCTACAAGGTTAGCTGACTGAAGGAGGACATTATAGAAAGGGCCATAAGTGAATACACCAGACAGGGAGGGTTTCCAAATTCTACTATCCAAACAAGATTGATCCAAGTAGGTCGACCCTAAAAGAGTAATAAGCTCATCCATCACCTCCGTTGGTGACTCCCTTATCCCTCTCCTCAATCCCAAGTCCCATGAGTTATCAATAAAAACTGAAGAGATCWCTTTTCTTTTATTCTTTGAGTGAATAAATAGAAGGGAACCTAACACTAAGGGGAATCTCTCCAACCCAAAACAATACTTTGTTTCCTAATTCCTACACATGCATCAAATTTGAAATAATTAAGGATAGAAGGCAAGATACTATGAATAGCTTTCCAAGGAGAACAATGAGAAGCCCTAGGATTGAGCCTCGCATCCCAACCACTGTCTGCTAACCCGTGTATGCTAACAATCACTCTATGCCACAGTTTATCCTCTTCCATCGACAACCTCCATAACCATTTCCCCAAGAATGTTGTATTTCTTAGTCTAACATTTCCTATTCCTAGGCTTCCATCATCTCTACTCCTAGAAACCACCTCCTACTTATCGATCAAAAAAAACCTTCCACTTCATTAGGTAATCCTTCTTAGTGTCCCTTGGTTCCCACAAGAAGTCCCTCATAATCTTCTCTAATTGGTTTGCCACTTTCACCGGTATTAGCTAGAAAATCTTAAAAAGATACACCAAAATATCTCATCTAGAAAAAAACTTTATGGTGTAAATAAGGATGATTACTGCTTTCTTCCGACAAATGAACTAAAAAGCAATGCTATCAGAGATCTCAAATCAAACCAAGCAGCATAAACCTAAAATAGTTAATGGCTTATGAAGTATAAATTGAAAAAATTCTCATCTAAATACAAAACAAGTCCATTTACAATTGGTAAAATGTAAAAATAGCATAAACAACATACCTTTTTCCTTTGAATGGGTCATGAAAAAATTCACATGACCCCTTTGCACCAAGGTTTATTAGCGTTCCAATTTCAGTCACTGATAGTGAGAATACCTAAATAAGACAAATACACAGTTCGTATTATGCATTCAGAAGTCTAAAGCATTCAAACATTTGCTTATTTTGGAACTTGCTTCATGCATCCATGCAATTTGGATTTGGCAAAAGGGGTTCTTGCATATCACATGAAAAGAAAATCTTGATTCATAGAGTGTCTTTATCTATATTACCCAGATACACCAAGAACATGGATGGACAAGGAGTCTGAATTTGCCATGACCTCCTCTCAAGGCGATAACTCCAATACACGTCTTACATTCTGCTTGTGCCATTGTTTTCAACGTTCCAAGACTGTCTTGTGCCATTCTTCTTTCTCAACCCCACCAAAACCCTAGTCATTTTCCCTATTTCTCTCCTCTCTCAAGCTTCAGTCTCCACCAGATCTGACTTCATGCATTGGCTCCTATACATGGTCAACAGATTGCCAGTGGCCTACTCTCTCTCCCAAATTCCCAATGCCAACCACTTTCATGCTCACACCAAGCCAAAACACTTTCTTGATAAGGGTAGGGGTGTCCTGTACATGGCAAGCTCAACATAGGGCTTATGATTCCCAATTATTTCATGGTGATGATTAGATTGAATATCTAATAGTCAATGGCTTGACAGGACATGGTGTTGCAGGTAGAGGAGGTGGTGAAGCTGGGCATAATCAACTTGGCACATAGTGGCAGAGCAAGACTTTGGAGGCTGCCTTGTGCATGGGGAGAAGTTGTCTGCTAAAAAGTGGGATGATAGGGTTTATGCCAAGGTAATGGAGGCATCATTCTCAGAAATTTCTGAAATGCTGTGGTTAGCCAACATTGGAGCACAGCTTTGAAAAGTAAAAGTTTAAAAAAAATGGATACTTTTGCATTTATCTAATTTATTGCCAGTGATGGTTTCCAGCAATGCAGTGGTGGTTATCAAAGATAGCAATCCCTTGTACTTGATAAGGATTGGTGTATTTCGAACAATTTGTTGTATACTTACCAAATATCATGCTGAATTTAAGACAACCTCAAATTGTAACATTGGTGAACTACCAACAGTGCAAACCAAACCCTGTAACAGCAACTGCTACACATTTTCTGGAAATGGGTCTCCGTGGGTTTGGAACATGGAAAAAATGACATGAGATATGGGACAGATCACAGACACAGATGTAAGAACCATATTGGGGTTACCACAAGGTTTATAACCTTCAGGTCACCGCAAATCCAGACTCCTAGACAAGGTATCAGATTGGAAATTTACACTACTAAAAAGTAAAAACTGAGGCACCGGACGAGAGGAAGTTATGGCAAATATGATGTAAAGAAGGGAAATCTCGAAGAAAAATCTACTGTTCCCTTAAATTCATGTAAACATCTCCATGGATTACAATATTAAACTAAATTTCACCTCATACAAAGAAAGCAACAAGCCACCGATGTGTGTCAATCTAATAAAACACAGGAGTTGACTATGTAATCGAACTTGAGAAATAAGTGTCTATATGTACTTCATCCTCAATCCAAACTCAAATAGAAAATGTATCTGTATATTACCAAAAAAAGTTCTGAAAATTTTAAAGACAAAAAACTCACCTGCTTTCTGCTCCAATCATATTGTCGAAGACCAACTGCAGGAGCAAACTGAAGAAGCACAAACCCCTCTTTCGATAACTTAAATGCTCCTGACTGGGCCAACCAAAAATCCACAAGAATAAATAAATTTACTTGGAGTACTGAAGTGTAATGACAATTTCGAGCATTCTTTTAACAGTAAAGCCCAGGGCTGAGTTCTTAAATGAGCAAAACAGAACATAAAACATACATCTAAAGGGACAAACTCTAGAACCTTTGGCTCTACTGTTAAAGCTGCCTTCCCCTTGTATATGGAATGACCAACGAAAACCCTTGGAGGAGGCAAGACTACAACCAAAAGATCAGCTAATTCAGATAAACTCTAGAGACCGAATCARTTAGGACTTTTTGCAAGAAAAATGATCAAGTTTTCTGCATTGACAAATTCAGTGATGTTTGTAAAATAATATTCAATTAGGCAAGCGGGAAAAATTCCCAGTTATTTTGGCTAATTTGCCCCCGTATTAGAACCTAACCTTTCTTTCTCTTTTCAAACTTTCAAACAGATGAATCTTCAGGCAACACTTCCTTTTGTAACTTCCGGCAACACAAATTTAAGGTGGTGTCACCCACAATAGATCACGATCACGACGTAAAGTTATCGTTAAAGTACACAGGAGAGGTTAGAGAGAAGGTGCTCTCAACAACACTTCACCATTGGAAATGGTACAATGTGCGCTTAAGAACACCAAATCTCTGGCATTTATCGTGCAAGTATATTGACGGTTTGGACTCGAGTGGGCCAATATTCCATTGAGTCGGTTGTGGTTAACATTTCCACCTACATTGAAGGGGCTCCTTACGCCTGAAGGATTTTCTGGAAAGAAAGAGGAGATGGGGGTCGACTTTGTTGGGATTGGGAATAACCACTGGAAGGTTCGTTGGTAGTGCTTGCCAAGCTTCCTTCGCATGGTACAAATTCGATTTCAAAATCCCACACCTTGGACGAGTTATTGCATCTGGGTAACAAGGTAACAAAGGAAAAGCTATTTGAACCCATTGAAGAACAAAGAAAACGGCTTACCAGTAGATCGGTTTGAGGAAGAACTTTGAAGTACAAAATCAAGGGAGTTCAAAAACTAGTGTCAAAACCCCAAAAAAAAAATCCAGAGAAAGAAAAAAAAAATGCTCTAGTTCAAAAGGAATAATGGTTGCCTGGTTGGTGGAAAAGCACGGAAGATCGGTTTCAGAGAGCAAGAAGAAACAAACTCTCATCACAGTTTTTCTCATTTTTATAAAAAAAAAAAAAGATTGATTTTTGTTCTAAACACCTGCTGTTTGGTCATTTTTTTACAAACAGAACCGAATTTGTCAATTCAAAAAATTTGGTTGCAAAAAGCCCTATCCATCCTAAACCCCAGACAAGAAAAATATTGATAAATAGTAAAGGTAAGAGAAGCCACTCACCTTCTGGAGACTGTGGAGCGAACGAGTCTTCTGAAGGTCTGGTGAACCTCTGCTGTTCGAAGTTCTCTGAGTGGCGGCATTTCACAGAGGGAGTCTTTGTGGAAACGCGGCCAAGCTCAGGAATGCAGTAGCTATTCCGAAGCGACACTTGCGAGAAGATTGGACTGCATTTAGGGTTTTGTGGAGGGAGAAGATGAGAAACGAGGTGCATTTCTCGTGACTATCCGTTTGATTACTACGGTGATTCGGTGAACTGGTTTCTCCATTTTTTTGGCTTCCGAGGCATTTTTTCGCGTGTGATGACTTACAAGTAACGGCGGGAGTTATTTCATAATAGCTGAAGGGGTTGAACTGAATTATTTTTTGTTGGATTAATTACTGAAATGGGTTCAACCATGATGCCGGAAAGATATGATACCGGAAAAACTTATAAATTTTGTGGGAAGGTCCAATTTGGTAATTCCAAGAAGTTGATGGATGCATTTGCGTAATTGAAATACCGTTTCTAAAACAAATCTCACGTTCCCACTTCACTCTACTGTCGCGGGAGGAATCCGGGAATGTATTGTATTAGACCCCCCGTTCTCCCTACACGCTCCACCCAACTGCATCGCTTCTGCAACATTCCTTCAACCCTTTCCTTCATTCGTCGAAGGTAATTTTGTTCAAGTGTTTGTAGCGAGTTCTTATGCTCTTGTTTTATGGTTAGAAATGCTAGTCGCGACTAGTTTATATGTCCTTTTTTTTCTTTTTCTATGCTTCCATTTAAATCATTATTTGAATTTTTGAATTCATGGTATCGGTTTCCAGAATGAGGATTTCTTCTCGAATTTGTTCCAGTAAAGTATTCTAATTGATTGCATGTGCTCGAGTGCGGCGTTTCGAGTATATGCTTGTGCTTAATCTGTTCACTGTTCTCTATGTTTCGGTTGTTTAGTACATTACTAAGATATTCAGGAATTTGGTTGGTTTTATACTAGTTAGGTATTATCTCTGATTTGCTGCTATGAAGTACTTCTTCATTTATGTCTTACTTGTTTCATTGGTTACTTATTTGTTTGTTCTTCATTAAGATGCCGATATCCATCGCATCTTATCACATAACTCCACCGAGTTTAAGAATTTCACATTCCTTCATGCCATGACATGTGGGACTTTTTTGTATTTTATTTTTTCTATCTAGCTATAATCTTTTACGATCAACAAGTATGATCTCAATTCTAAGGTTTTCCCCTTCACACTGCCTCATCATCCGTATATATTGCTTCTCATGGCTTGGTTTCCATCGTTCCGCTCTCTTTGGTTCACGGGAAATTCTTATTTTGAAAATTCCACAGATTGTTACCTTTTAATTTATTCCTAGCTCTGCACAGTTTTTTATGAATTAGTTCTAGATGCTTGATTGTTAACAGTCTCAAATTTTCTTTCTGATGTCTGCTAGGCTCAGCTGCATAAGAGCTATGTCCTCACACATTGTTGGATATCCTCGCATAGGGCCAAAGAGAGAGCTTAAGTTTGCGCTAGAATCTTTCTGGGATGGAAAAATTAATGCTGATGAGCTACAAAAGGTAGCAAAGGATCTTCGGGTTTCTATGTGGAAGAAAATGGCAAGTGCTGGCACCAGGTTCATTCCCAGCAATACCTTCTCATACTATGATCAGGTATTAGATACTACTGCCATGCTTGGGGCAGTTCCAGAAAGATATGGATGGACAGGAGGAGATGTTGGTTTTGATATTTACTTCTCCATGGCTAGAGGGAATGCAACACTTCCTGCAATGGAAATGACCAAATGGTTTGATACTAACTAGTAAGTACATTCAGTTAAGTTATGCCAAAAGTTTTATTGCCATTAGCAAGCTGTAGTTGATTAATGCAATATCTAATATGCTTTTCCGATGATAGAGACTTCATACTAGATTTTTTATTTTTTTGATACAGCCACTACATAGTGCCTGAATTGAGTCCTGATCTAAAGTTTACTTATTCTTCTCACAAGGCAGTTGCTGAATACAATGAGGCAAAGGAAGTAAGATACATGATCACCATGTTGTTTTCTCTTATGCTGTGGTATCTGCCAATACACACCAGGCAAAGCATTTTTATACTAATCTTGTGTTACTGTTCCACAGACTGGAATTGAGACAGTTCCAGTTATTCTTGGTCCAATTTCATATTTGTTGCTGTCTAAACCTGCAAAGGGTGTAGGGAAATCATTTTCCCTTCTTTCATTGCTTGGAAAGATCATTCCTATCTACAAGTAAGTTGTCAATTTTGAAAATAATACTTGTTTTTAAAAGCTTCTAGACATTATTTTTCTTTTCTTGCTTGTCAAAATAGGGAGGTTTTGGCTGAGTTGAAGGCAGTTGGTGCTACTTGGGTGCAGTTTGATGAGCCAATGCTTGTGCTTGATTTGGATGCTGAACAATTAAAAGCATTTACCGATGCTTATGAACAACTGGGAGAATCATCATCTGGGCTGAATGTTCTTGTTGAGACCTACTTTGCTGACATCCCTGCTGATGCATACAAGTATGCAGGAATTTCTTGGCATTTTTTTTCTATTCTAGGCTTCTAGCTTTAGCTTGAATAATCCAATTTTGCACATATTGTTTTCTTACCACTTTTACTTTGATAATCTAACAACAGGACCATCACTTCACTGAAGGGGGTTTCAGCCATTGGACTAGATTTAGTGCGAGGTGGAAAGAGTTTAGATTTGATCAAAAGCACAGGTTTTCCTTCTGACAAGTATCTCTTTGCTGGCATTGTTGACGGCCGAAATATTTGGGCCAACGATCTAGAAGCATCTCTTGAGACCCTAATAACTCTTGAAGGCATTGTTGGTAAAGGTATACAATTCTGGTCCCTCCCATGATTGACTTCATTTCCCTTAACATACATATTACATATCTAGTCTTTTATAGAACCTTAGAACAAGGTCAATAAATTTAGTTTCCCTACAGAGGGGCCAGGCTGCTTGATAGCTTCTGAATTGGATGGATTAAAATTAAATTACTTAACAGTTTGTCTTTTAGTGGATAATACAGTCATATAAGGCCTTGTTCGTTTACAACTTTGTAACTTACCCAGGTAAATGTTTCCTGGGTAAATTCACTTACCCATGTTCTTTTGATTCCTAGGTAACAGAATGACATTTTTACCCATACAAAGCTAATATTAAAATAGGCAAAGTTGTCCCATTATGTTTTATAAAATTTCCCCCCAAGTGTGGGAGATGGATAAATTTTACTCGGGGAAGTGGAGCTGATTTTACCATGGGGCCCATTAATAAATTCCAAAAGAACATTGTAAAGTTGGTCAATGGGAAAAAGATACCCATTGACCAACTTCCCCCTCTTATTTACCGGTAAGCGGACCGGGCCTAAGGGGTAAAAGTAGTAACCCGAACATGTATTTGTAAGTTGTTTTAGACTTCAATTTTGATGGATATTATTGGCTTCATCTTCATCCACCAGCCCTTTTCCTCCTTGATGATATACATTTGAGCAACTGACTTTCTGTTAATCATCAAATGCAGAGAAACTTGTGGTTTCTACCTCTTGTTCCCTGCTACATACAGCTGTTGATCTGATGAATGAAACAAAACTGGACAAGGAGATCATGTCTTGGCTAGCATTTGCTGCACAGAAAGTACTTGAGGTGAATGCCTTGGCTAAAGCATTGGCTGGTGAAAAAGATGAGGTATTGCATAGTTTCTGAAATAAATTTTGCAGTACTTGAAATTGCATACATCCAGAATTCCTTATGTTTATTCATCTTTATTTCTTTTTAGGCATATTTTTCTGCAAGTGTTGCTGCACAAGCTTCTAGAAGTTCATCTCCTAGGGTAAATGATGAAGCCATTAAGAAAGCAGTGAGTTCTGGAGCAGCCATCTACGTTCTGCAATTCTATTTCTTCATTTTGTCCTGGATACTTCTGTTCCAGTGTTTTGATTATAGCTTCATACACCACAGGCAGCAGCTGCACTAAGGGGTTCTGACCACCGCCGTGCCACACCAGTGTCTGCCAGACTTGATGCGCAGAAAAAGAAGCTGAACCTACCATTTCTTCCTACCACAACTATCGGATCTTTCCCACAAACCATGGATCTGAGGAGAGTTAGGCGGGAATACAAAGCTAACAAGTGAGTGATATTTTTTTTATTCATACTACAGAGTAAATAGAAGAAACCATTCCTTGTGAAATCTTTATATTAACTAATGGTTACGAGCACCCATGTTACCTTTGTTGATTTTATGGGATTGGAGGGTACAGTTTGAGGTTATGTTCTGCTGACCTAACAGTAGACCATTCCCTCACTTTATCTTCCATCTTAATATTGTGATTATCATTGTGAGAACCATTTAATTTTTAAGATGTGCATAATATGTTACATAAGCTTGCTTACATGTTTTTAAACCATTATATTACTGTAGGATTTCTGAAGAGGAGTATGTAAAAGCAATCAAAGAAGAGATTGGTAAAGTTATCAAGTTACAAGAAGAATTGGGCATTGATGTTCTGGTACATGGAGAGCCTGAGGTAAACTGATTTTCCCTTGTTCAAATTGTTCTTGAGGAAAACCAGAGATTTTAGTTTCTTTCACTGCTAAAAGGCTTTGCTTTCTGCAGAGGAATGACATGGTGGAATACTTTGGTGAACAGTTGAAAGGCTTTGCTTTCACTGTTAATGGCTGGGTTCAGTCATATGGTTCGCGATGTGTCAAACCACCAATCATTTATGGTGATGTCAGCCGGCCTAAACCAATGACAGTTTTCTGGTCCACAACTGCACAAAGCATGACATCTTGTCCCATGAAGGGAATGCTAACCGGACCAGTTACAATCCTCAACTGGTCATTTGTAAGGAATGATCAGCCTAGGTAATCTCGGTACTAGGCATCAATCTTATTGTGGTGTATTGCATGTAGGGATGGAAATTTCCCTGGTGGGGCAGTTCTTTTTGTTTGAAAAACAGATTTAGGGGCAAGGGAAGGGTTTTGGGATTTTACAATTTGTACAGGTATAGGTAGGGTATGGAATTAGGCTAAACCCAACCCTCCCCAACCCATATATTGAATTTACTTAAATACCCCTAGTGCTTATAATTAAATTGTTGTTAAAACTTAAAATGCATATGAACTATTATATGTTGAACTTAGGGCCCGTTTGGTTCATGGGAATAGAGGTCTGAAATTGGAGTTGTAATAGGCTAATTCCGATTCCAACTTTTTGGTTGGACGGAATTGGAATCCCATTCCCATTCCTGGTGGAATGGCATTTACCCATTTGAGGGAATGCCCATTCCCTCCCCCTCATTTGGGAATGAAATCCCATTCCAGATGATTGCAATTCCCATTCTGATTCCTATCTGAACCAAACAGACTAGGAATAAACCATTCCAATTGTGAACCAAACAGACTCTTAATAATGTTTTGAATCTTATGTGAAAGGTAATTGATAGTTTATGTGTTTTCTACATGTTTCAATTAGATAATTGGAAATTTTGATTTTTGTCCATGTTATTTTGTTTGTTTATTGCTTATATATAACAGGAAATTATATGCATGTTTTGGACCCGACTCACCCTACCTCAAATATGGGGAGGGTACAGGTTGGGAGGTTTGGAGTGGTAGGGAGGGCCTAGAATTCACAAAACCCTCCCCAAACCAGCCTCGTTGCCATCCCTAATTGCATGGTTTTTCATATTAAGTGATACATTCCAATTTTCATAATCAGGTTTGAAACTTGCTATCAAATTGCCTTGGCCATAAAAGATGAGGTTGAAGATTTGGAAGCAGTCGGGATCCAGGTAAGAAATTGTGTTTGCTAAAAGTAGGAATCTGCTGAATTAAAAAAATATGAAAGAAAGTAGTTTCTTGAAGAGAGAAGGAAGAGAGAAGGAGAAGAAGAAGAGAAGAAGAGAAGTTGAAAAGAAAAGAGAGCAATAATCTGGC